GGGGGGGGGGGGGCCTGGGAACCCCCTTGGGGCCAATCACCTGGAAAAGAGTGGACCTGAGTAAAGCCAGATCTGATGGCCAGAGGCCCTGAGCTATTTTGTACTGACTCCTTTACTCTCCAAGGCTCCTTGTGCCCGCCCCCCAGTGTCTTCTGGTCTGGTCAGGGAAAGGCTGCAGCCAGAGCCCCAGGGCACTGGTCTCCCAATTGTGGTCTCTGACAATTTACCACAAGGGGTCCTTTACCTCCTCAGAAAAATGGGGTATAGTCACCCAGAACAGTGTAAGAGCCACACGAGACAGTGTATATGGGAGTTCTAGAGAGTTTACCCTGGGCAGGGTTTTTTGAAATGCAAGTTGTGATTTATCTGAGGGCCATGAAATTAATTTCATGGATCATGACCAAGATTTAAAACGTATGAATAGGAAGAGAATGGAAAAGAAAATACCACAATGCATTATACATAAAGGTAGGTATTGTTTTGTGAAATTTTTGTTTCCATTATACACATTTAAGTATGTATATCAGGGTTGGAAACACTTTTTTTTTTTTTAAAAAAAAGGTTTTTGTTGATTTTAGAAAGAAAGGAAAAGAGAAATAGACACATTGATGAGAGAACATCTGTCAGCTGCCTCCTGCACGCCCCCTACTGGGGATGGGGCCCAGAACCCAGGCACCTGCCCTGACCGGGAATCCAACTGAGCTACACTGGCTGGGCTGGAAACACTTTAAACTGTGGATGATAAAAAAAAGGTTTGAAAAATTCTGTGTAAAGTGTAAACAGGAACAAAAACATATTTAAGGACGCACCCTTTAAACTTACGATAGGTTGGAGCCTTTCAACCAAAGTAAAGAAATAGTGATTCACCATGTTCTTTTTTGGGAGTTTTGGTTTCCTCCTCCACCATGCACATAAAAACAAACTCAGGTGGGGCCTGGCTTTCATTGTCTGCCAGGAAGGGGAATACGGAGGTCCAGAGTGCAGACTTGCCCAGAGCCGCCCAGGACGCACTGTACCTGCAGTGGGAGGGGCAGGACAGGGAGCATCCCTGGGGCGCCCTCTCCATTAGGTGCCCTCCCCAAGGTGTCCTCAAGGTTCTTTATGCTCTCCCTCTTCCCCCGCACCTCAGGGGCTATGTCGGACCCCTGTCCTGCGAGGCATTCCCTATCTTCTGGAACAACCAGACTTTCCAGTCCTGGCTCCACCCTCTGGGCTCTCAACTGCAGGCACACCTGTGATATACTGTGGGTTTGGTGCCAGGCCGCTGCAATAAAGTGAGTATTGCAATAAAGCGAGCCATGTGAATTTTTTGTCTCCCAGTACATAGAAAAGTCATGTTTACACTATACTGTAGCCTTTTAAGAGTACAATAGCATTGTGTCTAAAATAATGTGCATACCTTAGTTTAAAAATACTTTATTGCTAAAAATGCTAGCCATCATCTGAGCCCTCGGCAAGTTGTAATCTTTTTGCTGCTGACTGATCAAGGTGGTGGTTCTGAAGGTTAGGTGGCTGTGGCAATTTCTTAAAATAAGACAATGAAGTTTGCCCCGACGGACTCTTCCCTTCACGAACAATTTCTCCATAGCATGTGATGCTATTTGGTAGCATTTTACCCACCGTGGAACTTCTTTCCAAACTGGAAATCTCGAATCCTCTCAAACCCTGCTCTGCTCTGCCAGCTCAGCTGATGTGATAATTCTAAATCCTCAGTTGCATTTCAACCATCGCGACAGCATCTTCCCCAGCAGACACAGACGCACGAAGTGAGCAGATGCCTGCTTGAGGCGAGGGTGCCACAGACCTTTGTTAAAAAAATGCAGTATTTGTGAGCTGCAATAATGTGCAAGAACGTGGTTTGTCTGCACAGAAACACAAGGTATGCGTGTAATCTGTTTCTCTTCCAGGTAGTACATATATTTTAAAATTGACTTGAGAGAAACATCGATTTGTTGTGGCACTAATTTATGCATTCATTGGTTGCCTCTTGTGTGTGCTCTGACTGGGGATTGAACCACAGCCACGCTCTAACCACCTGAGCTGCCTGACCAGGACAGTAGTAGTTACACTTTAACTGGCTTTCCAGAGACACGTTACCAAGGTGCGGGGCACTGGCTCTTCAGAGGGCTTCATCTTCCAGGCCCCGCCCTTAGGGCCTCTGGTTCAGTGGGTTGTGGCCTGGGCCTAAAGCCTATGTTTTAAACAAGTGGAAACATGGCCTGAAGGAGAAACCTAGAGACGGGTAAGGAGCAGGCCAAGTTGCCCCCTCTTCCCTTCCCCATGCAGGGTGTTAAGCTCCATGCCAGCGGGCGCAGCGGCATCTTGTTCACCACCAGCCACTGTTGGCCGCATACCCCCCCCCACATTCTGCTGGTCTGCACTCCCACCTCATGCTCTGGCCTTTGGGTGAGTGCCTAGGTCTGGAAGGCCCTTTCTCTTTCACTCAAGGCTTAGGTGTTATCTCCTGGGAGGCAACTTTCCAATAATTTGTCATTCCAGCATCCAAAAGATGCTCAGAAAGTGCTGAGTGAACCAGAGCCATTCCAAGGGCCATTCTGGACACTGAGCGACAACCAAAGGTATCTGCTAAGGGATGGACATCAGGGTTCTGCCTTGGGTGTTCCAGATGCCCCTGGCCTGATGGTGTCTTGTCTCCCCAGTGGGAATGGTGGATAGGTGGCTGAGAGCTGAAGGGGCTCTGGACTCTCCACTCTAAGGGACACCTGTGTGAAGAGCAGTCCCAACCCAGGGATTCACCCCTCTTCTTGTGTGTGAATGGGAGCCATGAGGAACCTACACCTGCAGGACAAGCATCCTCAGGAAAGAAAGGCACAAAAGAAATAGATTTTACAGATTTATTTTTTAAAAACAAAAAGGTTAAAAAAGTCCTTCATTTCCAACCCTGCCTGCGGTGAGTGGGGAATAGAACAAGCTGAAGAAGGCGGCCATCTCTTCTGGGGAGAGGCCCACTCTCCCCCTGGAGCCTAGAGGACAGGGCAAGTCAGAGGAGGCCCTCGCCCTTCCTGCCCCGCCTCCTCTGCAGGTAGCTCCCATTGCTGCTGGGGTCCCAGAGCCCAGAGGCTGCCTTCTTCTCGGTGGTCACTCCAGCTCTGCTCTCCCTCAGAGGCCGTCTGGTCCTCACCACTGGGGCTCCCAGGGCCGGCGGGCAGGAGGCTCAGCCTGACCCAGCCCGCCCACCGGACTATGTGGCCCAGCCCACCGGCAGCTTCCTTAATGTTGTTTGTGACAGCAGGGCAGTCAGGGGGACTTCACAATGTGGGGTAGGGGCTTCAGAGTTGTCGTGAGCAGTCTGGAGAGGAACATCTAGCCTTCGTCGCTTTCTGATCTTGTCCCTCTGCACTGGGGCTGCCCTTCTTTTCTATTCCCCATCCTGAGGCTGAGTGGAGTCCAGGACAAAGCACTAAGTGGCTGTTTGCTACAAAACACCTGGAGAGTCCAGAGGGTGGCTCTTGGCCTGTCTGTCAGTCCAGGCTCCCACACAGTCATACAGTCACACACACAGCGTTTAAGGCGTCTGTGCCAGCAGGCATGGCCACACTGGGCCCAGCTTCTCTCTCTCCACCTGCACAGGGCGAAGGGGAAAACACCTGGCTGCTTCAGAAATAAGCTGAAGGGGGAGAAGCTGGTGTCAGGAGAGTCAGCCAGGCCTGGAGAAGGAAAGCCCACACAAGGGCTTTCAAGGCCTCTAGCCAGGCTTGACGGCTGCCCTTGGAAGTAACCCAACTCAGGTTGGGAGCCCTGACCATATACCCCCTGGAAAATGGGGGACAGAGAGAGGGGAAGAGAGCGGGGCTAGAGTATTGGGACTTTGGAGGAAGCCAGTGCTATCAATATTTACAAGCATAAAGCCCCATCTTCTGCGCCACCTACCTCTCTGCCCCTCCCACAGAAAGAAAGGCCCCTGAGAGCCACTGAGAGGTACCAACACCTCCCCACCAGCCATGCCCCATAGGGAGAGCCCCTGCCCTCCAACTGGCCCCATGTCTGGGCCCCTCAGGAATGTCTGTCTGGCTCTGCTCAGCTGGGAGGAGGCGTCCTGGGCCAGAACCGTGGCCGCGCCGGCCAGCCCTACGAGTCCTTGAGCATGTTGATGCGAGCGTAGATCTTCAGGGCAGGCCCCAGTTTGATGTTCATAGCACTCATCAGATGGTCCTCCTTGAGCAGCAGCAGAGCCTGCCCATCGATTTCCTGGGCACGGAATTCCTCTGCTATCTCCTGGCAGCCTGGAGGGGAAACCACCAAAGACAGTGTCAGTCAGCGCTACCAGCTTCACTCTTGGCAGTCACTGCACTGCAGACACATCATTTCATTTAATCCTCACAACCACGTCTTAGGGAAGGTGCTGCTCTCCTTATTTTATAGCTTGAAAGGCTAAGTGACCTGCCCAAGGTGGCCGGATTCCAGGATGGCCCCCCAAGATCCACGCCTCTTTATTCATGCATGTAGTGCTCAGAGCCCCCCCCCCCC